ACTTGGATAGATGAGGTCTTGAATTATCTACTTAAGATTAACTAAACACAAAGTGCTTGGAGAATTCCACATTGTGCTTCGACATTGTTTCAGCAAGTATGACAATGATTTAAAATGTTATGTATCTTCAGTCAAAGAAACTCATACTGGAAAAATACACACATATAAAATGGAGACAGCAGACAAATTAAGTGTCCAGGAACAAAGCTGTCAGGCCTTTTCTTTTGGAAATACTCTGAACATATTAGCAGTTCTATCAAACATGACAAACTGCTTAATAGAATTACAATTAAAAAGGTAGAACTAAGGGCTGAGAGTATCCCATTAAATAGAACAGCCAGAAAATACTCCCCTATGGAGATTAGAGTGCCTGTGCAGGTACAGCTGTACCAGGAGCTCCAATTTTGTTTGCTTTGCATTTAATGTTTGCTATAGTCCTAAGTTTCAGGGACTCTGCAGATAGGTGGCTTCTTTTGGCTGCAATCATAGGGCAAGCCACCTGTCAATTATAGTTAGGTTCCCTCGTCCCGCCCCCGTTTTGGGTTTTGGAGGAAATAGGAGCCAGTTTGGGTTCACTCCACACAGAGAAGCTTTCCATGCAGGACATAATACCAAGAGCTCTTGTAGAAAGCTTCATCTTCTACGGCTTGGCCGGGGAGATACATCTCCACAGCTTGGCCGGAAGATTTACAGCCTTACAGCTCCTTCGCTGAGGGACTTCAGTCAGCCACCTGAACTCCTTTTTCCCTGGAAGTCTACAAAGCTCTGCTTGGTAAGGGTCGCTCGCGGATGCCAGACGCAGTTGGTACTGGGTGCAGGGGCTCCACGTCAACAGAGGCAAAGACAGACTGCCCAGATTAGAAGTTAAGCAATCTAAAGACTCTGTTTTAAGGAAATCCAAAGGCCTTTAATCTGAGGCAGCCCTGGCGTCCTGTTGGGCACATGGAATTTATGTCCTGTCTACAGTCTTATGCACAGGCCCAGCGTGCGACAGCACAGTGTCCCCCTTTAGAATATGAACTGAATGGCTTTTTATGTACAGATTTGAAATCCACTTATATTTCTAAAAGAAATCTCAATGCAGTTTGGTAACTAGACTTGTGCACTGATCCATTTTAGCTGTTTTATTTCAGCCAAAACGGCTTCTTCAGCTCTACCAGGTAGCCATAACAGCAAGGGCCCAGCTGCCACATTTTCCCATCCATAACAGGACCACATAACAGCCAATCATGGCTCCTCCTCCCCTATTCGGCATCACAGTTGTGTATTTTTTGGCTTGGCTTCTGGTTTGGTCTCTCTCTTGAATCGTTTGGTTTTCCTTTATTTTCTTTGTTCTTTTTATTTAGTGAGACTGACTGGGAGTTGGGAACATGCGGGGCAGTTAGGTGGGGCGCGCACGTGCGTTTGGGGGCATGTTAGAGTCACCCTTTTACCTTTTTTTCTCCTCCCCTCCTCTCCTTCAGCAAATACTTCTAAAAGATTAGTAGTAGAAGTAGCAGTAATCCCAAAAAACAAAAAGAAGATCCTCATTTTCAGAAAACCACTATTATCTAGTTACCTCTCCTCTAGAGTAAAAATAGAAACCTGAAGCAGAAAGGCATGAGGAGGGAAAAGGCAGGCAGGGCCTGCAGTGCAAATCAAGAGAAAATAGAGTTTTTTAAAGGAAGGCCAGGGTAGGATAGCTGCCTGTCTCCTCTAGAGTAGAAAGTAGAAACAGCTTTAAGGAAGAATTAAACCTGAAGCAGAAAGGCGTGAATGGGAGAAAGGGCAGTGCAAATCAAGAGAAAAGAGAAGACTTTCAAAAGGAAGCCCAGGGCAGGATAGCTCCAGCTCATCGCTCTTCCTTCCCAGTGCGAAGCCTCCTTTAAAATACCTTAATGGAAAGTTGCGTGCAGGGAGAGAGAGAGAGAGTGCACACTGCCGCCTGTCTCCTCTAGAGTAGAAACAGCTGTAATGAAGCTGTAAACCCAGGTCTCCTTTACAGACCAAAGGAAAAGGATTGCAGAAACTTAACTCTAATGTTTTTAATCCAGGCTTTAATGAAGGATATAAGGACATATGATGGCATTGCCTAAAATGATGGGAAGGGGAGACCGGGGAGCCCCGTCATTACTGCCAATGGGCCGGATCTAGCTGTATTTTTTGGCTGCAGTCCAAAAACTCCATCCAACTGTGCACCTGTTTTCAGGAGATGTACAAAAATGGATATGGGGGTCTGCCAGTATCCAGCCAGCAGAAACGGATCTATATTCAGCTGAAATGCACAAGCCTAAAGGTAACCACATTTGTATAGAAGTTCCTATGAATAGGAAATGAAACATATTAGGGTTCCTAGTTACAGAAATACTATAACCTCATTCCAATAAACATGGTTGCAAGGCTTTCTTCAGAGGGCTTCAAGATGTTTGAGGATATTGAAAATCAAGACTTATGAGTCACTCACACCTCCAGTTTTAGAGCAATGCACATTCAGGTAAATGTCTAAACTGATCTACAAAAGAATGTAAACCTAGGGGCTCCCACAAAGTGGGAATAGAAACATGTTGTAGCTTCCTAGACAACTGGGGCAAGCCAAAGGTCGTGCTAAAGCAACTTTTGAAATATCAAAACGATTCTGATATGTATCACTCTGAGTCAAACTAGATGTTAAGGAGAATGTGTGGTCCCTCTGTTTAATCTGTTTTGGACTAGATCAGCACTGCCATACAGTGCAGTTTCAACTGCATTATATAACCAGTGGCTGTATCTACGCTTCCATATAATGCAATGTGCGTATGAGACTCATGAGACTGGTGTGTCCATGCAATGCACACAGGCTAATGCAATGTAAACCAGAGTAAGCCACTTAAGGTGGCTGGACCCCAGGTCAAAAAAACCTGGGGAAGGACCTAATCCTGCAGCAGGATTCAGACTTTCCCCTCTGTTGGGGCAGTTGGCACAGCCATCCTGGAATCCAGTGCAAAATCCAGAATTGTCAATCTGGACTCCTTGGGCTCAGGTAGCCTGGACAGGTGGGATGGCAGTACCTACCTGGCTCCAGCACTGCCATTCCCCTGAAAAAAGCAAGGAAATCTCTCTTGCCAGCACTGAGTGCCCATTCTTCCATTCCTATTTCTTCATCATTAAGTGAACCTGGCAGTTTTGGAGAAAGAGAGTGGGCTCACTCCTCCAAACTGCTTTGCTCACTTAATGATGAAGAAAGAGAAAAAGAAGAGCAGGTAGTACCAGTAAGAGGAAATTTCCTTGCTTTTTTCTTGGGAATGGGGTGCAGGTGGAATCCTGCCCCATGCTCAGCCCTATCAAACCGGCTTCAGCATGGCTGTGATATTGGGCTGGTGCCAAGATGGTTCAACTATGTGTGGCCTCAATGTGGCACCGAGCCGCATTATGTGCCTGTGTGGAATGCCCAGTGTAGATGTATGTAATGGTCTACACTGCCCATATAATCCAGTTCAAGTAACAATATAATTATTCATTATATGGCAGTGTAAATCCAGCCTTACCTGAGTCGCCTTCGGGATGATATGGGCGGGATAGAAATAGTGTAAATAAATAAATAATATCAACATTTCCTCAAAGGGACCTTCATTATAGATACATGCACCAACAATCAGACTTCAGAATTAAGTTTGTGTGTATTGTCCAGTCACAAAGCGAGGATGCTTAATACCATGTATGGTATATAGATGAAAAAAGCCTTTACTGTGACAAATATCTTTCACATCCTACAGAGAACACTTGCTGCTCTAGCAATATATATATACATATACATACATACATACATACATACATACACACACACACAGTGAAAACAAACTTTTACAGTCACCTTTCCCCTGCACCTACTTAATTCTGTGATAGATGGAAACTAGGCATACACTACTGAAGTAAAAGAATAGTACTGCTTAAAATAAGTCAGTATGATCATTTCAAAAAACAATTTTTTAAAGTCAGACAGGAGCATAGCTAGTTAATGTTTGTATACTGGTATATTTAATGCTCAGTATATACTTACTAATTATACTTAGCAATTGAATGTCTTAATTGTTTTGTTTTAAATGCTATTATTATGTATTACTGCTGTTGGCATTGTTTGAATGTCTGTTGTGAAGCCACCCTGAGTCCCCCTCTGGGAGTGAGAAGGACAGGATACAAATATGCGAAATAATAAATAAATATACAGCCAATAAATACGTATTAATTGGTTGGGCCATGCCCATCTGGAAGTCTGGAAGTTATAGTCCAATAAATACTTGTTCTCAGTTCCAGATTACACACAAAGTTGCTTTTATACCAATTTATGCAGATTTCAAGATTAACCTACAAGGAATACATACGGACATAACTTTTAAATCAGTAAACATCATGTCTCAAGGAACTGTATGCTAAAAGTAAGTGTATTGAGTAAAATATCGGAATGCTAGAAAAAACCCTTTATCCTATGAACAGTAATTTTGGAACCTTAGAAGTATTAAGTATTTTCAAAATACATATTCTAACACACATCTGTGATGATATAAAGTGCAGATTAGAAATATTTCAATATATAAAGAAAGTTCTACTGAAACATTCAGATCTCTTAACACCCCAGTGATGAGGCACTTTCTCCAGCTTTCAGTTACCCTAAATACTTATTTTGGTATTAGGTAGCTATCTTCTAAAATACATTTGTATGGAATTTATAAGCTTTAGCATAAAGGAACAGTTTTATATTTTCCTTATCTATATTTTTCACTTTACTCATTGTTAGTGTGAGTTATTTTTTATGACTATACTTGAAAAAGCTAAGGAAAATATAAACAAAACTGTTATTTTATACATACAAAAAAACATTTTTTTAAAAAACTATTTCAACATGTTAAGACATTATGTGAAGCTCACATGCACGAGCATCCCTGAAAAGAGTTATTTCTTCTAAAAAGACATAGTCATATCAAATATCTATAAATGTTTGCCTAATGTATAGTATAACCACTGGGATGAATATAGGTAGCACTTACCAAGCCATCCTGATCCAGAGTTTGGAATACACATGTCTGTTTCAGCACTGGGCAACACAAATCCAACCACAAAAACCTCTACTCCATCAGCCATTAGTGCCATTCCAAGGACAAAAAAGAGGGCCCACTGAAATCGTCCATGGCCACATTCTTGAATGATTAGCTCATACTGTTGTGCTAGTTCTTCCTCATCAGCTTTCCTCTCTGTCTCCAGTTCAAGACGGTCCTTACGGTCATCTCGCATAGGTTGTCCTAAGGCAGCCATCCCTTCCTTGTTCTGTGCTGCATTTGGGATACCCTGATATTCTCCTTCATAAATCTCATCATCTTCATCATGTCCTTCGGTTGCTTCACTTGATCCCTCATCTTCATTTGCTTCTCCATCGTAGTTTCCTTCTTCAGTGTAATACGCATTTTCTTCCTCACCCTGGAATTGATTGTAAGCTCTTTCCCTATACCCATCTTGAGCCCTGTCTGCAGTTTTATTACCTCTCTTCACTGCCTGTTTCTTGACCTCCTTGGCAAGATCTTGAGCCCCTTTCACTAATGAAGTCTTGTCTTCCATCTCATAAGCTCTATCCATCTTCTGTTAATCAATGCGTATCCAAATTGATTCTGTGCTGAAGAACTACTGTGTGCTACAAAACAACAGCAGGAGATTCCAAAGCACATTCGGTTTCTGGAAAGAGAAAAAAAGTATATATTTATGAGAAAATATTTTAAGTTTTGCTCTTTCTTTACAGAATCATAGATGTTATGATAGAAATGGCCACCTCTTTCTTCCCTGCCCAAGAAATAGAGCTAACTACCTACTGATTCCACACACTATTCAAACCACTGTGCACCAGACACAGAGAACTGGTGCACTGCAGAAATGCTCCTGCAGAGTAAATAGCTCCAGATGACACAAGCAAAGGAACCAAACATCATGCTAAAGGAAAAACTATTCTTATGGATTTGCTAGACAGTCTACAGCAAACTGCTATTTGTCTGAATTTCTATTATGTTATACAAATTCATTTGGTTAACCACAAAGTAAAAAAAAAGGTCTTGAGCTAATTTCTCAACTGTTTCAGACTGACTTCTTTCACACACATATGTGCACACACACATTTTGGAAATACAGCTCTAGGATGCATAGTTTTGATCCAAATAGTATCTTTTTAATGAAACCTGATATGAAACAATTCTTACAGGTTGTAGGTGTGAGCATTCAAAATTAGTTCAAATTATAAGTGAAAGCATTGTATCAACGTGAATAGTAGCAGGTGAGCTTCCAAATAACATAATGAAAATCAATTCAGAAGAATTGTGTCTAAAATACATGTAACACAATGAAGAGTTATGCAGAATCTCACAATTGCATACCAAGTTACATGGATGGATGAATAATGGGAGCCAAGACCCTGAGCCCACCTGGTGGACAGTGGACATTAGCTCCTCTCACCATCATGTCCAAAGTGAGAGAGAATGTGTGCTTGCAGAATTATTGTCAGCAGTATTACACAACAATTTTATGCCAATGTTAACACTCCAACAGTATCTTGACCTCTATTTCCAAAATTCATCTTAGATTACGAAGCACAATTCGAGACCATATGCAAGTTTTGGTCGCTCCCACTTTGCTCGGGGGTTCTTCGCCCATATTTATATGCTGATCACCCAAGCTGTTCCTTTCTTTTTGAGATTTCCGAAAGATTGAAGAGGCTTTCATTCCCACCACTCCCTAAACCTTATTTACTATCTCAGCACACAATGATATATGTATCTATGGCAGGGAAGTGTGTGTGTATACATGTATGAATATGTGTATGCCCACACACACACATATATACATGTGTGGCCTCTACCAGCCTTTATCTCTGCAAAGATGCTGCTGCTTTAAGAACTGAAAAAAATTATACCCCTGTCATGGACCTTCTAGAAGGTGCAAAGGTTTGTGCGCTGCTTAAATACAGACCCAAATAAGGGTTGATGTAACGTAACTGGATCATTTCTGTAAGGAAGGGTTAGCTGTCCCTATCTGTCCTACTGTTTATTAGTAGGTTTTGTAACTCTTGCTTTGGAAGAACGAATCATAGCAGCTATTAAAATGCATTTCCACAACAAAGTCAAAGTCCCAGCCAGACTTGGATTATAATCCTAGGTAGAAAAAGTCAAACTTTTCTTCTTCCCTACACTTAATATTAATTCTCTCCGGTTTACTGATAAGGAAGGTTTTTTTGTTTCCCTTTTCTGTTTTCCTTCATCACAAAAAATGTTTCAATGGTTGGAAGTTGCACACCAGAGACACTGAGAAATGTATTTATTTACCACATTTTTACCCCGTCCTTCTCACCCCAAAGGAGACTCAAGGCGGCCATCTCCTCCATGCTATTTCTTGGTACTTGACTTGTATTCATAGCAATATGCCTGATACTAGAAGAGGATGATAGAAGAAGAGACTTTCCAACATTCCACCATCCATGAAGCAATGGCAAAGCAGATAAAGAGTTGAGAGATGTGCTCCTTTTTCAGTTGTCAGAACAAAGGAGATGACCATGTCATTCTGCCAAACTCAACTGATGTGTCATAAACTGGTTCATATCTGGCTTGAAAGAAACCAAGCCAGAAAGCAGATTAAACAGTTTATATATAAACCCACTTGGGAATTTAATCAGAAAGTCTCTTAAAATGGAAATGTTATGTTGTGATACCTCAGCTCTGATGGAGTTCCAGGTCTGTGGGGAAAGGTGAGCTATAACTAAAATGTAGAATAGAATATAACAGAATCACCAGAACCCATGAAGAAAATTTGAAGAAAATCTACGCCTAAATATCCCAAAGGCACCAGACCCTATGGTCAGCCCTGGTTATTTGGATGGGAAAGTGACAAGGAATAGCAGGTGCTGCAATCTATATCTCAGAAGAAGGAACTGGCAAAACCACCTCTATGTATTCATTACATATTAATCATTTTAAAAGGGTAATCGGATGCCATCATAAAATTATATTTGCAGCTACCTGCCAATTAGGTCGAATTATGCCTTTGTCTGCCACCATTTTGAAACTTGTCCTGCCCTGCACTTTCATTCAGGGACTGGGAGAGTTCAAGTATTGAACATTTATGGACCGTGGACTGGGACCTACGTGCTTGCCTATGCTCAGGCTGTTTGCATGCAGCTGGGAATTCTGCAAAAGTGAGGGAACCCATCCTGTGTGAAGGGCCTATAGTTATGGTGTCTGTCCAGATTTCAGATCCAACACATACCAGTAATGGGAGAGAGCAGAGAGAGAAGGTACAATATTGCTTCCCTGCTTCTTCCATGTATTCAGTGAATACACTACTATTACCCGAATAAGCTTATGTTCATCAACCCAAAATTAGGTGGCAAATGTGAACTGAAGGATGGATTTACAAGCTTCCACATTGTGAAGTCTATGACCAAACAAGGATTTCAGCTGTCATTGTTCTTAATAGATGATATGTGCTTAGTTCTTCCCTCTATAAGAGATGAATGACATTTGAAGGCCAACACAGAAAGAATCCAATCCAATTAGACAGAAAGCCAAACTTTTCTCCAAGGACTTTAGTCTTAAATGCTCTTATCACAATGATTTAGCAATTCTGCTAAGATGGGAGATGGGTGGAACTGTAGCCACACAGTAACATTTCCAGTGATTAAAGTGATAACGTATTCTGTTCTCAGAGCAGTTCATGAGTGGGGCATCTTTGATTTAAGATCTGTGTGACATTACTCCAAAACATCTCATGAAAATGACATTGTAAGGAAGAGTTAAAGTGTAATAGCTCATGTAAAGATAATATGATTTCACATAACTCACAACTGAAAGCTTTCTGTGACCAGAAAACAATGGAAAAGAAGCAAAGGAGAGCAAGAAATTATTCTTGAAATACAGATAGAAGATAGGATATATAATTTTGCCCACATCTTCCCTCACTGCATCTAAACTACTTCATTTTCCACTGTGCCATCTATGTTGCAACGTTTCATTAAAAATGACATTGACACTACTTTGTTCTCATCTTTCTCTTTATTATCATTATATACATCATCCCCTCTCATAAAAAAAAACCTTTGGTGTTTCAATGCATATCATGTAGCAGTAACAAACCTAAATATTAGTGCTTTGTGCATTCCAGGGAGGTAAATATTTTACATGCCTTCCTCCAAAAAATAAAACCTGTCAGAGGCTGCAATTTTTAGGGCAAATGCTCTAGAGGTAAATGTTTCATTTAGAAGCAGTTTCCGTCCACTTTTCTTTCCGTATTTTGGTAGATAGTGCTGGTAGTGCAAAAACATAACAGTTGGACACTAAGGGCCTGTCCAGACAGTATCTTTATCTCAGGAGCTCCCGCATCAAAATGGAGGGTGGCCAAACACCATCCCCTTAAAACACGGGAGGAATTGCTACAAACTGCAAAAAAACCGAGATTCTCAGGTGCAGGAATATCCCAGTTCTGGCTGGGAAATGCGGATATTTGAATCCCTGTATGTTCCTAAACTCAGAAAATAAGAGATTTTTTATGTTGGTTTGTTTCTGAGTTATACGTGTTGCTTCCTGGTTAGTTGTATCCTAAAAACATGGCAACAGTTGACTAGAGGGTGAAAACTTTGTCCTGGCAAGAGAAACTTTGTCCTCCACACATTTAATGAAGTTCGTGACACACAAAGGTTTTTCCATGTAATCAGCTTTCCCCATGTTTTTATGATAAAAGCAATGCGGAACAGACATGTATAACCCAGAAACAGCATCTCATAGWTCCCAGGCACAGCCAAACTTGTCTGCAAAGATGGCCATGCAGCCTCTATAACCCAGGAACTGAACTTGTACAATGATTTGTATATTCACATATTTGGATCTTAAGGTTTTTTTTGGGGGGGGGGGGGATGCMGAATTTTYCAGCAAACATCCCACATCAAATATCTTAGGGGCTGCAAAATCCCAAGACAAAGTAGCAAATCCCAGGCAGAAATCCTGGGACCAACAGTTCTGTATGTGGACCTCTTCTCAGGTCCCGCGTTTTTTTTGGGGGGGGGGGGTTGCCCCTGACTAAAACCTGTGATTTGGTGCTGTCTGGAAACGTCCTAGGGCACTACATGGTAGAGAGAGAGCCTGGAAATGCTGCCTGTCAAATGGCTCAGCTGCTTAGAAGTCTAGATATTCTAGTCCAAACATGTAATGCCTTTAAATGTTGTATGGATCCACTTTAAATTCAGTTTCTACTTCCTGCAGAATTCTGGGGCTTGTAGTTTATGGTGGGGGCCTTTAAACCACTCAGCCAGATAGGTCCTAGGCCTCACAAAACTACAAACCCCAGAATTCTTCAGGAGGCAGAAACCAGATTTAAAGTGGATCCATGCTCTAGTGCAGTGGTTCTCAACCTGTGGGTCCCCAGGTGTTTTGGCCTACAACTCCCAGAAATCCCAGGCAGTTTACCAGCTGTTAGGATTTCTGTGAGTTGAAGGCCAAAACAGCTGGGGACCCACAGGATGAGAGCCATTGATCTAGTGTGATGAGGTTATAAGTCAGTGACAATCCTACAGAATTCTGGGCATTTGGAGATGTTCACCAGGGCTTTTCCAGATGCTTTCCCTCACTTTTCTCCGCTTCCCTCTGGATAGTGGGATAGCTTCCCAAGTTGCTTTTTACATCAAACTTAGTGATTTTGTTCTT